TTTCTAAGAGAAATATTATTTTACCAAACGACCTTGAGAAACCTACTCTTAGATCTCTTCTTGTATTAGAGAATGGCGGGTTTTATGGGCTACGAGAATACTGTTAGTCTTGTCAAGTTATCTCATTAATTGTAAGGGATAATCTTGATTATTTGCTTCAAAAATATAAACCAAATCCTTGTCGTAAGTTACGTGGATGATTAGAACAGTTCCTATTAATTTCCGGATGCCTTTTTTTTTTCTAGCGTTTCTCTGTTAACATACGTACCTCAGTTCTACTGTCCGTATACCCATCTGTGTTTAAACCTACATATCTCTGATTATCAAAGGATTGGTCTGCCTGTTCGTAATTGATGTTATAAGACTAATGAAAGGGGATTTCAAATTGTTTCGTTTTGTTACTCAGTAAGCGTGACGATGTTATTACTGTCTAAGATTTAAAAAATCTATCCTTTCTTTAGCTTGTTTCTAAGTTCTGAATTTGACAGATAAAAAACCTTAGACGAAATTTGCGTGACTAACAAATACGTATCACACAGAAGAAGATAATGGCACCATTATCAGTGTCAGGTTATTGTCATAGCTCTATCAGACTTTATGTGAACTGAATACATGCAATCGGGTACACCATTATATAGACAGTCCAGCGGCGAGCAAACTTATTATTGAAAAGCTTACCGGGAACCGTCAAACTAGGGCAGTTCAATGTTTACGCCTTTAATCCTATCTTCACTTCACTCCAAGAGACTAATGCTCATAAGCCTACAGTAGGGGGTTAACCCATAAATCTGCTTGTTGTCTCTTGTATTACGGAATAAAGGCTTCGTTTCACAGTATCTCAAAAACAAACACAGGTTTAACTATAAACGAAATCAAATACTTAAAAATATTATGAATAAATATGCAGCGTTATTATTTAACTGATTTTTCAACACGCTCATATTGCTCAGAAACGATTTACCCATTGTTTGTTTTTGAATCGGGTTAAACTGTTTTCTTGCTCATAATAGGCCATATAGAACAATGAAGAAATACCTGCTATTCAAAATTATCAATCCTGATATGACCTGGTGGTTAGGGCACTCGGCTCAGAATATGCTGGTCGAGGGTTTGAATCTCCGTCACCGAACATGCTCGCCCTTTCACTCGTGATGGCATTATAATTTTACGGTCAATCCCACTAGTCGTTGGCGAAAGATTAGCCCAAGAGTTATTGGTGGATAGTTTTGACTAAGTGCTTTCCATCTCGTCTACCACTACTAAATTGGGGACGGCTAACATAAATAGCCCTTGAGTAAATTTGGGCTAAATTCAAAAACAACCAAACAAAATAATTACGTTAGTTGTCTTTTTCCCAGACGGTCTGAAAAGTGAGAGTAAAATTCAACAGTAGATGTATTTATCAATGTTAAATGCCGTTTCACAAATAGGCTTACAATACAAACAAGAGGTGAGAGCAAGACTGTAAATCAAAACAAATGTTTTTGCGTGATTAACTATGAAAATCCCCATACAATATTGTACTGACTTGATAAACAGCGAAAATTACCATACACTATTGTATTCATTGAACAAATAGTGAAAATTATCTAACATTAAATATTAATTATCTAAAATTATCTATTTAGTGAATGGCCCGGCATGGCCAGGTGGGTAGGACGCTCGACTCGCAATCTGCGGGTCGCGGGTTCGCGCCCCCATCCCACCAAACGTGCTCGCCCTTTTAGCCGTGGGGGCGTTATAAAGTGACAGTCAATCCTAACTCGTTGGTAAAAGAGTAGCCCAAGAGCTGGCGGTGGGTGTACCATGGCATCTGATGGTGATCATTCGTTTATGGACCTACTAAGAATAAAACAAAGACTCTGCAAGGATTATGTCAAGATCTATACAAAGGGGAAAGAGAATACTTGGACACTGCAGAGGCAACTAGGGATACAGTGTATCGACCTACAAGAATATGGATGTCCGGCATACAGACATCTAGCAGCCTTCCCTCTAGTCTTACACTGCTAAATTAGGGGATGGTTGGCGTCAGGAAGGGAATCCGGCCGTAAAAAAGAAGAAGATTGTATTTACTGAATAAATAGTGAAAATTATCTTACAAAAAAAAAACTGAACCGTTCTTTAAAAGTAATTTAACTCCAGAAATTCCACATGCTTTATTTTTATATCAGCTTGCAATAAAACCAAAATAACTGCTTGTTTTCTTCTTCTTTTAATGAGCTTATGTGTTCATCTTCCTTTTTTGTCAATGTGGCTCAAGATGAATAATGACTAAGTCCGAAAGGTTGTCTATCAATGGTGCACTTTATATCTGAGAAGATGTTACAAAATAAATCGTCCACTTGAGATAAATGGATATCGTAAAAATTGGAATTCTAAAATATATTTTTTTATTGACAGATAAAAGTAAACTCGTCAAAATAAAATAAAGTTTAAAATGATTCATGTCTTCTAAAGAATAATTCTTGTTTATTATTTCTATCCAATGAATATAATACTATAGAGGTTCAACAGTTAGCAGAGAAGTAGAACGGTTTTGTGGAATTGGAGGTATAGAGGTTCAAAAATTAGCAGAGAAGTAGAACGGTTTTGTGGAATATGAGGTATAGATGTTCAAAAATTAGCAGAGAAGTAGAATGGTTTTGTGAAATTGGAAGTATAGAGGTTAAACAATTAGGAGAGAAGTAGAAAGGTGATTGGCGAGAAAGCAGGCCTACTGATCAACAAACTACCTCCTGTGATTCTCAGCAACTTAAGAAAGCTATCTTAACGTCACTAGCATTGCACACGTAAACTTTTAATTTGCACGTCTTTAGACGAAACACTCTGCTATTTCTGTACAGAGAGGAATCATTTGCGTATTTTCTTTTTGGAGCGTAGTTAAGTAACAGTGGAAAAGTCTTCAATAATTTCAAATATGTACCGATGAACCCCTGCAGTGTGTGTGTGATTCATTTTGCGATGTATTCATCAGCTAAGTACAAAATATATATGATTTTAAAGGCTGTTCATCATTTTCACAGAACTTTTCACTGTAGTCTAATACGGAGTATTCATTTCATCTGTGAAGCAAGGGTAAATATTTATACCGAAAAGTTCTTGATTTTATCACTACTGCGAAATAAAACCGTTTTAGTAATAAACGGTCTTTAATTCACAAAAGAACTTTGTTTTGCTTTTTTTCTATCACGAATATTTTCCAGCTTTCATGGAAAATGGGCGCCTTCACTTATCACAGAGAAATCTCACAAGAAATAGAGAACGCTTTGAAAGCTTAGTTACGTTTCTGTCAGGCTTCCTTTATGATATATATATATCTATATTTACATTTATATATTAAATTGATTTTTTTTTGGAAATTACAAAGAAGATCGAGCCATTCCAGTTAAGAGTTTCGTCTCGGAACCGAAATATATTTTTAATTCACTAAATTACTTGATGTGCCCGACTTTAATATTTGAAGTTAAATCATATCCGGCCTCCTAGTTCAGGGTTATTACATGATATTATTATGATTTAAAAATCTATGTTTGGTAGGCTTAAATAGAATATTTAGAAAAAAAGTTATTTGGTGTCTGGAAGGAAGCCTACAAAACGAATTTTTAGAAAGTTTGGTAAATATACAAAGTTTTGATTGCCAATATATTCAAATTAGAAAATTCTTGAAAATCTTGAAAACTTTTAACAAAATAGGGCTTAATTTAAGGATATTTTACCAAAGTATTAATTATCGGAATAGGCCCGGTGGTCGTTTCTGTCCTAAGGGGGATTCAGTGGCATGTGAAATGAGGATGCAGTTGGGTTATGATAAAATATTATGCCTCGAAGATAATCTATCTATTTTCATACGAAAGTAATTAGTTATTCATAGCGTTTGTTCTATGACAAAAAGAAAGATAAAATGTGATATTTATTAAAAACAAAAAATTCCTGGGAGCTTACAGAAAATTTGATATTATTTTACGCTTTTTTAATGGTATCCTAAGATAAATATCAATAATTAGAACCATTAAGAAAAACAGCATGACTACTAATAGAATTTACAAGTTTACTCTAAGTTACTTCTTAAAAAAATATCATAAAGCTTAACAAATCATATATATTCCGTTTACAGTGGGTGTTCCTTTGCTTCCATTAACTTTTTACTGAACAACAACTTTCCAAATGGAATATTTCAACCTTGATTAAATTCCATTACTTTTTGTGTTCAGGTTGTCCTAGTAAACGAACATGGTGCATTGTAAAATCTCTTACATGTAGAAAATAGATAAGAATGCAATCCCATAAATATGGGCAAAACAAAGTATACCCAACGTACGTATATTTTACTCCCGATGATTCTATTACTGAATGGACTTAGAGACCTTACAGATGGCTTTAATAATTGTCTCCAAAAAAACAGGCTGTACTTAGCGAGTTTGATATGTTGATCTTAAATATTATTATTTTCTTAATATAACTTGCAAAATATTAAAGAATATATCACTTTAACAGGTTAAGAAAAGAGAAAAATGTCTACAGTTTATTTGGTCAACATTGCTTATATTTCAGGCCAATGTTGTTTTTAAAAAAAGGTGTTTTTTTTTACAAACTATTAATGATAGTAATGCATAGACTTTAGAGATATACTTTAGTTATTTTTCTGTTTTTTTTATCTTTTTATCTAACTTACAGGCCACCTAGCTAAGTAATCTCCTAGCTCTACTAACAACGCGTAATAAATTTAAAAGTATTTCATCCATGAATTCTTATCTTTATTATTTTGCTAAAATCCCGTTTGTTTTTAAATGTTATTTATTGTTTGTGTTTTAACTTACTCACTGAATCAAATAATTTCACCTAACTTAACACTGAAAGTAATCGAAACAGTTAACACTATGAATTCAACTAAATATCTACGAATGAGCGTGAAACAACTGTAAAATATTTGAAACAGAAACATAAATACTGGATACGTTAGTGAGGTATAAGTAAACGTAAAGAATCAAATAATCTACCTGGTGAAGCACCCGTAGTCTCCGTCCTGGGCCATTATGCAGGAACCAGTAAATACACACACCCAGAGTGACAGCCACAGCATAGAGTGACAGTAAAAACATGACGGTGTCGGTCACAAGGAAACGAGTAAAACGTCAGGTATCTTGTTGTCACTTATGAGCCTTTTGCCCACAGCAACACATCTTACCACTGCTTTGTTAATAAAACACGTGAAAGGTCGTGTTTTGTCAAAGACTTGTGAAGACGACAGTGACCAAATGTACACTAAGCGCGTGCAGCAGCCGCAACGTAAGAGGCGGAGTCTAAACCAATCGAATGCGCGGGCCGCTGAGGTGAGGGAGCCATAAGTCAATATTCAAAGCCTCGTTTCATTCAAAATCAGCCTGGACTTGTGCCAGACGGATAAGGGTAAAGAAAAACTCAGAGATGGGAGGGGGTTGATATATTTCTGTTAACGAAGCAATATTTCCGTTAGATTTGTCTAGCAGAGATTTCACGACTGTTGACGAGCTGTCTTTAGTCAAGGCAGTGAGAGTCTCCTACTCTTACAGGATGCTCATCAGGTCGAATGTCAATGAAGTACGGTTAGGTTTTTACGAAAGTAACAAAATTATATGAAAGAAGTTATTATGTTAATCGATTTGCACATGATTCTTCTTCGATCCATAATAATACATTATGTGTATGTATACAATAATGAAAAGAATTATGGAAATACATACCTAAGTGATACACATGCGGGAACCACAAACAATGAGTAATAGCAAATCAATGGCGGTTTCATCAAAAGTACAAAATGATATAACAGAAAATTACAAAATGTATATCGAAAAATTGTACAATGAACTGATATTTTTATACGAGCTTTTTGCTACACAAAGGCTATTTCATCTTGTTTTCATGTTGCCATACATTTTATCAATGAACTATGGTAAAACGCTTTTCCCAATGGTCTGTATTACTTCACTAATTCAGCAAGTTGTTTGGTCGCCTTATGACTTTTTCAGATTTTACATAAGCCTCTACAGCCTCGTAAATATTTTTATAAGGACTTTCTGTAGGCCAAGCTATGGTTGTAAGTATTTCATTGTCCACTTCACAGTCAAGATCTAATTTAATCACAATTGTTGTATACAATCAAATTCTTGCCTGAAGATAAATCCCCACCCAATGATTTGCGTTTTACAGCCCCAAACTTCTAGTGATCCCCATCAAACTTCAATATACATTGATTATAATACCGTTCGTTCTCTTCTCCGTTGTTGAATGTTGCAATAGATAAATAAATAAATCGAATTTGGATTTATCTATACAAAGCACACGTCTCCATATTTCCGCATTCAACCGTTTGTGGTCTGATTCCCGTTTCACCTATGAGTTTGGCTACCTATTCTCAACACCGATTTTCGAGCAGATACAAGTGTATTGAAACGACTCAGTGTTAATGATTATCTTACAGTTCTCGAGTTCACACTCACATCTGTATTTACGGCAAGGTTGTTGGCAAGATATATCTGACAAAGAACATACTTAACATCACTGTTGGAGAGTTTCGATTTTATATCTCGACCCCTTCTACTAATTCTAAGATTGCCATTTTCAAGTAAATTATTCAAAGTCTTGTATACAGCCTCTACTGGATAGTGGAGTCTTGCCAAACTTTTTCGCGTAAAATATTGTTGACCAGCCAAAACTTTGGTTTTCTTTGAAATTTACATGATTTGATATCATGAGGATTTTCATTTCCTGGAGACATGACTGGTTTAAACTATTGATGGAGGTATAAGAGTGCCTATACTTTTATAGGGTTTACACTGGGGTGCCATATTCTGACTTCTTGGACGACGAACAATCACAGTATAAGCTGTCAGCGTGTGACCACTCTCTAACACGGTTCCTTTTCACATAAGAAAGTGATGGAATTCTTGTAGTATTTTTCTTTTATATTCCTTGTTATGCACCGTTTCCATAGTTATTTTCAAAATTGTATATATATATATATATACTACTTAAAGTTATTAAACAGCACTTTCACGCTAGGTTAAAAGCTAGTTTACAGGCCAACTTTATTATGCCTCTGGTTGTTTATATCATCAGGAAGTCAAATAGTTTCAGTTTTAGGTGCACACGTGTACTTTTTTCATATATTTGTCACAAGCGTTCAAAACTAGTGACAAAAACTGGTTTGGCTAAATGAAAATAATATTGTAGCATCAGTAAAAGAATGGGAATTAAACTCAGTTAACTTTAATGTTAATGAAATATAACGATTCAAGATTTGAAATATTCTTGAAGGAATATGCATTTTTGCCTGTCTATCAACTGGTTAGTACGTGCTTAACAGCAGGCGGAAACGTGATAAAACAAGATAAATGGCAACAGAGACCAAATCTCTGAAACGACAGTTCAGAAGATGGTAGCAACGCTGACAAACTTATTATTCTTCAGAAATGTTGAAATAGGCAATAACAATAACCAAACACAGTGTGAAGAAAGACAGATAAGGGGCGACTAAAAATAACCAAATATAGTGTGAAGAAAGATAGATAAGGGGCGACTAAAATAAACAAATACAGTGTGAAGAAAGACAGATAAGGGGCGACTTAAAATAACCAAATACAGTGGGAAGAAAGACAGATAAGGGGCGACTACAAATAACCAAATACAGTGTGAAGAAAGACAGATAAGGGGCGACTAAAAATAACCAAACACAGTATGAAAAAAGACAGATAAGGGGCGACTACAAATAACCAAATACAGTGTGAAGAAGGACAGATAAGGGGCGACTTAAAATAACCAAATACAGTGGGAAGAAAGACAAATAAGGGGCAACTAAAAATAGCCAAATACAGTGTGAAGAAAGACAGATAAGGGGCGACTTAAAATAACCAAATACAGTGGGAAGAAAGACAAATAAGGGGCAACTAAAAATAGCCAAATACAGTGTGAAGAAAGACAAATAAGGGGCGACTAAAACTTTTATTGATCTGCAATGTGCTTTATTGGTGATTATTTGTTTAAGTCGCCATTTACTGACGATCACTTTTGGCTACCGTCCAGACGAAATGAAATGTCGTCTACATTTCCAGCGTTGTCGAAATAGCGACATATTTGATGATGAAGAAGTAGGGGCTAAAAAAGAATAAGTGGGTTGAATGACAAAACCAGTGAAGTACTTCAAATAATAGTCCAACATAGAGAGGAAAGATGCAGGAGATATGAAGATAAACTGAAACAAATAATGGCTAATTAACACATTATGGAATCCTTCTCAGGAAAACAACTAAAGTTTAATTCCTAAACAGTTTAATTTATGTGCCCTTGGAAGTTTTCTTAACAAAATACAAGAAAAATTACGTCATTTTTTATATCTCTCTATCAATCTAATCATCCCAATCCTTGTCCAGATCTGAGTTCACTATTTTGATCTAGAACAATCATTTGTCCTAAGGCTTTCAAAATGTTAGTGCAGTCACACAAATACTCATTAACTTGTCCGAATTTGGTAATGAAATACTAAGTTAACAGAACGTTAACAATAAGCTGCAAATTACTGGTCATGCGTCCTTCGTTTTAGAATATAAACTCATGTAATGAATATCATAGTTCTTTGAACTTGGACTCACTTGAGCTTGTTCCATTTTATTGAGTAGTCATTTTAAATGAAATTTACTTTTTAATAAATTCCGTATAAGTTCGCACAACTTAAGCCTACAATTATGGACCGTATCGTGTTTTAAATACATTTTTCTAAACTATTATCTGTGCATGAAATTGCTTGTATGTTCAGGACTTTGTTAGTTACAGGGCCCCTAGTAAACACACACATAAAAGATAAACGTACTATTAATATTGCAATTAATCCCACTAATTAATTATCAGTTCTTTAGAATAAGTGTAGTAACATCAAATTACTCAATATGATGTAATATGTTAAACCCCCAGTTGTGAACGGTGTATAAAATAAAGTCAGTAATTTGAGGTTTAATCTGTGTGATATTTTTAAATGCAAAAAAGACGTTATATCAGATTTTCAACAAGCTAAAAGAATATTGGACAGCTGTTCAGTCCAACCTGAGGATGATAAAAGAAAGAAAGGTGTAGTTAACTGAAATAAAATAAGAATCAATTGTAAAATAAGAGAAGGAAAATAAAAAGGTAAGCGTTATATAATCGTTATGAACAGGCTAAGGAGTTAACAAAAAAAAGGAATGCGATTCTAACCATACCTGTGTTTTAAAAACAACAACATATTTAACTGAAAAAACATCAGACATGCATTGCAGTTAGAATATTATACTGACAGAATAATCCAGCTTCCAAACACGTAATAAAAACAAAAATCCTGAGAAATTATGAGTGAACAGCGTAAAACAGTAATACAATTCAAGGTGCAGGACAAGACTGATTGACTATATGAAAATATGTAGAAATACTAATCACAATAAAATCTTTCCAACAACCCATCATATTGGTCCCACAGAAAGCGCGCTTCCTGGTGGCCCAGCTATGAGCTAAAAAAATTATAACGTTAATATCCAGGGTTCGATCCTTGTTGTGTACTCAACATAAAACAGATAAAGGTATCTGCGCATTCTCTAGTCTGTAAAAAAAACTGAGAACAGAGGGGAAAATGTAGATTGGTAGGATTGTGAGTAAACAGCGTAAAATAGTAATACAATTCAAGGTGCAGGACAAGATTGATTGACTACATGAAAAAATGTAGATTGGTAGGATTGTGAGTAAACAGCGTAAAATAGTAATACAATTCAAGGTGCAGGACAAGATTGATTGACTACATGAAAAATGTAGATTGGTAGGAACATATAAATTGAGCTGTTCAGGGAAGTTTAAAACTCAAAACATGGAACTTGGAAATCAAAGTTGTTGACTCATTTTACTGATATGTAAAAAAAGACGAAAAATATCATAAACTGAAGTTTTTTGTTGTTGTTGAGAAATAGACATTTCCTGGGATCCTAGTACACAAAGTACGCCAAACAAACTGCAGTGAGATAAACAGTCATTTTTCATTCTTACACTGCCCTTTTGATGGGTTTTCTGAAGTTATAACTTTTGTTTTTCATGATCCTATTTTCTGAGAAGCTTAAAAGTGACTTTTGAAAAGCCTACATTTCTATACAGAATAAAAACACCGAAGCGAACAAAAATTTAGTAATGCAGGAAATTCAGAACTAGTGAGATATATACATATTGTGCCTAAATATACTCATGCGTTCATGGTAGAGCTG